TGTTCGAGGCTAAATAATTTTGTTTGTAAATCCAATTTAGAACTCGTAGAGGTATTAGTTATGGTAACATTTTCCCCGGTGAGATTTTGTGACGAATGTTAAAAGTGTTATAATGTTGCCAATATTGTATTGAGACATGTCATTCTCGAAGAAGATGTGACTCTTTTTAATATGATAATTTACCTTCTTAAATACAAATATTGTTAATTTGTTTTGGATAGCAAGGAAAGGAAAATATAAAAAGAATAAAATAAGTGGCTGAAAAACTTTCATATGTTATGTCTATTAATTGACAAACAAATACATTAATTGACGAACACGAAGTCTTTTAAATGTGTGTACTATCTCGAGTTATTCACTTCCCATCAGGTGCAGCCTGCTTATTTACCCCCATAATAAAAAAAACTTTGAGGCTACCATTGCATTCTACAAAATCTTTTACAAGGCTTTGAAAGTCTATGCAGCTCATCTGTAGAATGCATTTTCTGAACCGGTTAAACGTGCTCAATCGCTAACCGCTTTACAAAAAGTAATGGTACCAAATCTCACCGTCTTTCATTATAGTAATATCCTACTGGATATTTATATAACACATATATTTTCAATTGCACAATAATATATTTATTTATTTATTATATTCTGTTACATTTAAATAATTTCTGCCATAAAGTTGTCTGTAAGCAATCGCATCAATCCATAAGATAGCCGTTTATCAAACATTTTTCATTTTAATGATAATTTTATTTTTTGGGCACATTAAATAATATGGTATTGTAATGTCAAACAACTAAACGTTACTGGGTGCAATGGCAAATGCAGGAAAATCTATTACCTGCGTTCATGGTCATTGCACCGCTGCTGTAATGATGATGTTAGACACCTCGCTTGGGCCTAGGCACTGCCTACGCTGCTACATCTATATCCTTCTTTAATGAATACTCTATTCAGTACAAATATAATAAGTTTAAACTGACTGATGGCTTCTAAAATGAACACTCTTAAACAAACTACGTATTATAATACAAATGAGCTGAAGACGCCGAATAATATATTAGTACAGACTAGTTCTTGCTAACTCTAACCTTAAAACTTCTACATACCCGTTCAATCTTTATTTTACCCCTTGCCAAATATTGTTTCTTAGTTGGGGCTTACAATATAAAAATCATCAGCAGCTAAAATATCAAGTTATCAGCCATAGCGGTTTGGCTCTGCATTGATGAATCAGTCAGTGAGTCAGCGCAAATAGTTTTTATTATTGTAAATATTCTAAGAATAAGGTAAATTTGTAATTTAGATGAAAATATTTACTGCCTAATAACATTATATGTACAAATACACTGGAAATATCTGGAGAACTGCCAAAATTTTTAAATAAAAATAAGAATCAGTATATACATGATTTGTTTTTATTTTGGGTGACACTTTTGGTCAGTTGGTATTGCCTCTGCCTATTGATATGTTACGTAACATTTGACATCTAGCATCTAATATCGCGTCCATTGGTTAAATCAGCGATGCCGAGCGCTTTTCTGACCACGTATTTCCATCCCTTTTCACGAAATTTTGTCCACTACCACATATTGCAGAAAAAGGAGAGGGTTTTTTTAGGAAAATATCATCAAACATAAAAAAAAATGCATTGTATACACTTATTTAATGTTCGGTCTGTTAAATGCGTCACTTTGTAAATTGTATGTGTGACTTGGACGTCTATAAGGTTTTGGATAGCCATTGTACACTTGTAATCCATTTAAATGCGTAAAAGCCTAGCCACTACTAACCATACTCAAAATGGTTGATGTAATAAAAAAGAATTCTATCTTTGAATTTAAACGAACATTGATAACATAATTTACTTATTCCAATTTCGTAACAGGTAACTTACAGGACGAGTGAATTACCATATTTGCACGTCAGTTGCATTTGCTGTCATTGTACTGGTTACACAACTCAGAAAGGTACTACCGTCTCCAAAGTTGATAATTCAATTTCTCGCAAACTCCAAACAATAAGCACCGAATTCATATTGTTATGAGTTGTTCAGAGTAGTACGTGCAAAATTGTGAACAGTTCGTTGTTTACAATGTTTGAAAATAACTTCATTAAAATGGTAATACAATACTCAAATTAAAAATTTTTGATTGGGATTTTTTTAAACTGTAGTTTATTTTTTACAAAACTGAAATTGAGTAAGTTGATCACTTGAAATTGTTTTTTTTTTTAAGAAACACGTAAGTAGAAAAAGAGAATTACAGTACTTATTTGTAAGTAGAAAGCACAAGCAGGCACAATATACTCAAAGAATGGAAAAACAGGGCAAGTAAAAATAGTTATTGGACATTAATCTTTATGTAAAGACATAATTTTTAGGATTAACAGTACAAATTGTTAAATAATTTACTGACGGAAGCATATCTTTAACGATCCATTAATTTAAATATCTTTTACGGCTTTAAGAGACATTAATCTTAATTAAGTATCCAGTTCTTTATTGTTTAGGTTTTTCAATACGCCTATATTTGTTACCTAATTTATAGGTTCCAAAGGTTTTAAACAAATTTAAAACCATTGATGCAGTTAGCGCTATAATTCATAAATAAACAAAAGCTGCCCTTGTCCATTCAAATCCTTAGGGTTGTATAAACATAGTATCAGTATGACACTTAATTAAGATTAACTTTAAATATAATACATATAAAATATATCCAATTTAAAGGTTCGGAGGTTCAAAAGTCAAACATTTTTTTCGATTATAAATACTTCGTGTGTTGAACTTTTAGCATAACACACCGCAGTCGAATTGCGTTGTAATAATAAACCAAGTAAATAATAATAATATTCTACTACATCCACACAACGCCATCTAGTCCCAAACTAAGCAGAGCTTGTACTTTGGGTACTAGACAACTGATATAAATACATATTTACTTTTTTTTTTTGCAAATACCTACTTATTATATATAGAAACACCCAGACCAAATCAAACATTAAATGTTCATGCACACAAATGTTTGACTTTTCAATTAATTGTACTGTTTACTATGTTACAAGTTATATTTTATCACTTTAAATAGGCCGGGTCGATCGGAGTCACTTGACCGGGCCGGTCACAGAGGTTTTTTGTGACCCTTTGTAATTATTTACATATTCTCTTATCTTTCTACCGAGGAAGTGAGGTTACCGGGTGACCAATCCTAATTCTATTAATTTTAAGGTCAAGGGTCTTGGCCCGTTTGCTCGTTTGCATTCTGTACTATAAAAACAAAACTGACTTATTTAGCCTTTTTTCCCATAACAGCTTAGAAAAGCAAATGTCCTTAAGCGAAATAGAGGAGGAATAGAGACGATAACTGCCATCTGGGATATTATTTCAGTAATTTCCTTTTGTATACATATACAAATATATGTATAAGCAACAGAAAACTGGTGACTGGTGACAGGTGAGACCATCGTTCACCCGAGCAGAAGCAGGCCGGGTTGGAGGCTGTGGAGCGAGTGGTGTGTGGGCCATTGGTGTTGTAGAATGGGAACACCGTGGTTCCCACACACGAGGGGGTCATCTGCCGTAGATGGCCCGGGGTCCGTTAGGGTCTAGGGTACAGGCTGGTTCCCTGGCTACTGGTACCCGAGATGGCGTGCGGTTTTTTGTCGGTTCGTGTCCGTTGTGTTGGGGGGGATGGTGACACTCCGTATTCTTAATCCCCTGCCACACGGAACAACAACAACAATGTATGAAAATATATGCAAGCTATTTCTTAACAGCTTTTATTTAGTTCTTTATTTTTTTAAGACAACTCCCAACTCCTTTTATATTATTATTATGTTGTCCAATGTGGGGACCGGACGGTGGTAAGCGGATGAGGTGACCGCTTAAACCACTACGTCATCCGTGAAGTTATGCTATCTATGTTATATGCTAGCCCTGTTAATACTAACAACGAAGTATATATCAGACCTATTCTTCTTTATACAAGTTAGTATTTTCATTGTAGTATGAAATCAAGCTTTTTGTTTTTAAATTTATCATGCCTGGTAAGTTAGTGATATGGTACTCAGTCAAAACGTAATTGCAAGTCATTTTTAATTGAAGTATGACACGTTTTCCGTTAGTTAATTATTTTTTATATTTCACACGAGTTTTTGAAAGTATTATGTTGATACCATTTCGTTAGTATTTTCACCCATTTTAATAAGTTTTCACTGCCAGTTTTGCTTTAACAATGTAGTATATTAACACACGTACACACAATTTCATTTGGTTTATTCATGCAAATATATTATCCAAACAAACGTTACCTTCACAAACTTGTAAATCGCGTGTCCTACAAAGACAAGCACGAACTTGAGAATATCTAAACATGGTCAAAGAATATTCACCCCTATGTCTTTAAGTTAAAGTTAATTAATTTTGTTTTGTAGACCGTTTATACTTTGAGGTTATGTTCATTCAGCATTATGAATTTGTAGATGTCACAAGTATGGCATGTTTACGGTCACAACGTTTTTTTGACACGCTCTGCTATATACCTATGTAAAATAAAGGTAGCCATCTGTAGATCTACTCTTTACGTTTCATTTTCTCATAATTAGTACAAACAAATGACAAAACCCAAAAACGCCTAGGTTTTATTGTAAGAAGGTCTTACTTTGCTTAATCTATTGTGCAGTCAGGTATCTTAAAATCCTTGTAAAATCGAAATTAAGTTAAAATAATAGAAATAAAATAATTTTGAACAAATGCAAAATGCGTTTAGTCGAGAGTTTCTCTAGAAGTTCTACTACCAACATGCCTCCTTGAGTGAAACTTGTTATCTAGATATAATGAGCTAGTCTTTGTGTTCCGTAATCTACGTCATTAGGTATAAATTTAGTAGGGTACTATGAAATTTGAGATTATTGAGAATAATCTCCCTTGCTAACAACTTCAGATTTTGGGATCTTTCTTGCCATTTACTAGTATAGAGGCCCTGTACAAAATTATTTTTCTGTTACAGCACATGCGTTGGTCGCATACACACACACAAAGCTTGGAGTGTGAAGAGCGACTACTGGCTCGCTGCAGCCGCCCTCGAGTCAATTCTGCTATCTTTGTATCAGCTGAACCTGCTGGATTCCCAGGTTTTGATGCTGGCGAGTTCCTGAGACGGCACGGTTCTCAATCTAAGTTATGTCGTAAGGCGAGGTAAGTAGAAATAGCAAGAAGTAATTTTCTTGCAGTTAGGGGTGTTGTGTATGCGAAATTTCGGATCACGATATGGATATGGATATATAAACAATCACTATACTGGTTTCGGATACGATTACGTATAAAAAATATTTCACAAAATCCGATAGGTTCGTATAATTTCAGATATGGATTTTAAAGAATTGTTTTATGAAAATTCAAATAAGAAATAATTTATCGAGTCGTATAGGTGATTATAATAAGTACCTACTCATTTTTATATTATTTAATTATTTTTTTATAAGTCTATCGAAACATGTCTTATTTAGACTCCACTCCTATCCGGAATTATTTGAAACTATTCTTAATATTCAATAATTTCCGTTACGGTTTTATACGTACCTAGTATCCCTGCTTATAATAAACGTAAACGATTTTATTTCAATAAACAATAAACGTTTATTTTACCTAACTACGAGTATAATGTGTTTACTCTAACTCCAAATATTAACATATTCATAGTAATTTCTATAGTTGTTACTTTAAAAAAGTTTTATTCCAGATGCCACGTATATTATTTACCCAAGATTTAATGAATCGGGTTTGAATAGCATAATGGAGATAAACTCACCTTTTGTATCGTGAAATTCATTGTGTTTGAAACCGCATACAGATAATATTTGTTTGCCCTCAGGTATTTTGTTTTCAGTCTATGTATTTATTTATGGAATGGTACATCGGCACGTACAATGTTCAAAACATAATAACCATACCTACTGTTGATTTATATTTAAAATCTAGAATTTATTTATTTAGAATGCATAGAATAAATATTTAGGTACAGATTAATTAAGTTTAGACTGCTAACTGAGAAATATCTTGCAGATCGGCAGACAACATACCTTTAACAACAATGAGTGACTCATCAGAGCGACTTTGTAAGGTCAAACATCCTATAGAAGACACTATCAACGAAGAAGCAAGTAAATCCGACGACAGTAGCAGCGTCGAGACTGTTAAACATTTTGGCCTACCGATTCTTTCAGTGTCAGGCCCTTCACCCCCTGACGAGGATTACGATCAGATAGATGAGTATCTGTAGCATTTTCATACTAGTTTCCAGCTCAAATATGTGCTGGAAAAAATGAGGCCTCCTTGGCCTAGCCCCACGCATAGTCCCAAAGCTGATGACTAGACTAGCATCGCACTGCACTGGACTTTTACGAACTTTCCCTTTTTGTGATATGGTGTGTTGTTGAGCGTATGTTTTAGAATTTCGGCCTACAACGAATTTCGAAGACTTTGCGCTGAAGTTCTATATGTGTGTCTTGATGAGGGACCATAGCTTTGGTGTGGTGTGTTTTCATCGATTCTAATATTAATATTTTTGTAACTAATCTCCTGTGTCTATTGAGTGTTAAGATATTATAATTAGTCTTTTGATCCACTTTGATAGTGTAAGGACTGCACAATGACTATTATTATTTATAATATTAACAGTGCCACTTTTAACTTTATTGGAAGTGTCTATATTAACGTTTATCTTAAGCAATTATCGATGTAAGTTTATCTAAAATAATTTTAATGTATAATAATCTGCTGTGTCTTAGAGTTTTTGATTTTAGTTGCTAGTTCACTGTGAGTGTAATTATTACTCGTTAAATTTTGTATTGCATAAAGGTATATATAGAACTTTTGCAAGTATCTAGTATATTATGTAGTGGTATAATCTGTGAAAGATTTGAAGGTTGAACTTTGGTCCAATGAAATGTATTACCTGCACATGGTGTGTTAGTGTGTAAAAAATGTATTGATTAATGGGAAAATTTTGTGGTGGAGGTAGGTGACTCAGTTACATATGTGTGCGTATTTATCCTAGTCTTAAATCCTATGTATATGAATAAATAATCCTTCGAGTTCCACACAATCCTTTGGTCTTAAAATATAGTTAAATAAACTGACATAATTTTCTTGTATAAAGTTAAACTAGTAAACCACAAATTATATAAATATTCGAATGTCAATTAAATGTAGAAGCTAAAATCTTATTTGCTATATTAAATAATTTTGTAAATAGTTATAAATAGCAAAGGCACTACTAAAATAAAATAATTAGTCTGTACTTTATCTTATAGCTGTTTACCTTCTAAATGTATGAATCTGTACTGGTGACTGGGGACCAGATGGACAGGATATGTCAATGTAGGCCTTAAATCCAAATCACGGAGTTTTTCCAAATCCTATAATTAAATATTTAAAAGATACCCATTTCAAAGCTAAGACTACATTATTCCCTCCACTATTTATAGAATTGTCCTTCATCAATTTTAGATAGTAGTGTGTAGCACATTACCTTCAAATTTAACATATTTATTTTGAACGGTATACAAGTAATCTAAAGGCCGGTTTTTTAATCCTCAGATAAACAGTTAGATAGCATTTATTCCTCAGTTAGCGTAATTTTGGATCTTTCAAGGGTCAGATAGTTGTTATCTGATGAATAAAGATTAAATTTGAGGAATAACTTTATCTGTCGTTTCACGCCTCAGTTAGTGATATTATCTGTAGAATAGTGTTTTTTTTTTGTGTATTTGTTTACATTCTCTAATATTTGTTGTAGTAAAGTTTATGTTAGTATTATTGAGTATTTAAATTTATCTGTGTTCTAGGAGAAAAGAAAGGGTTTTTAGAGAAAGATATGAGAATACTTTGTATGATGATAAAGAATTTTATTACAAGTTATTGATTCTTTTTTATACGAAAGTGACAAGAATAATAATAATATTCTATATCACATTCACACAATGCCATCTAGTCCCTAACGAAGCGCTCACAGCTTGTATTATGGGTACTAGACAACTGATATAAATAGATACACTATTTTTTTTTGTTAAAAACATACATATTATACATAGAAACACCAGACAAAATTTAAAAATGGAATGTAAATATACAAAATCTTTGAACGGAGAGGGAATTGAACCCGCAACCTTTCGAAGTGCAGTCCATGACACTAACTGATACATCATTGTTCACAATGATAATCGTCACTATTACCTTCAATAAGGTTGTCTTATTATCTGACTGACAAGCAATGACAAGAAAAGAATGACACAAGTGTTGTCGAATAGCTTGTGATCCTTGACGTGTTACTAACTGTATAGCTGCATCTCGCTTGCGCATATTTACAGTGAACTGATTGAAAAACAGAAAAAGTTTATTCGCTTGATAAATAAATAAATTTATTCTCAAATTAGTTATCTGACAGTATAACTGATGATTGCAAAACCGGCCCTAAGTCTGTTAGAATTGGCGACTACATAGCCAATATACAGACTGTAAAAGGGATGGTGTAAGGAATACGTTCAGACCATAATTTAGAGACGAAAATTATTGAAATTTTATGCTAGAAAATAAAACGTTTTTTGCAATCAGCTGTCAAACTTTAAGGTCATTCTTCATTTGTATTCCGTGCAAACCGTCTACGCACACTAACACAAGTTGGCAGCCGAGGGGAGGCTGTTTGATTCATTACATTGCAGTTTTTGACCGTATGCGGTAAAATGTTCTGTTTACTCAATATGATATCACTTTAACAAAAAAAAAATGAATTTTATAAAAAATTGATTAGTTTTCCGACAGAACATTCCAATGATTATCGACTCAGAATGATGGTCTGAATACACTATTTCAGTATTCGTTACATAGTCCTTTTACGCTCTATATAGTTTTTGAGAGTAGAAGAGCCATTGTTTGGCACATATGGGTTGGCACAACCGGAGTGATACCATCGCCTCACAAAACATCAGTGTTAAGCAAGTCTTTCGTTGTATTTCACCAAGTGAGTGAGGTTACCAGCGCGGCGCCCCAACTCCCCTTCCACCAGAAAGTCATTTCTCGTAATAAAAATTCGTTCAAAATGCAGTTCTATTTTCGATATGTCATTTCATAAATGGTATTTTCGTAGTAAGTACTAAGACCAGCAGATACCCGATATCGACAATCATAATACAGTTAACGTTGAAAATGGAATACGTAACTACAAAAATACCTTATAATTATGACAAGACAAAACTTTTATTACGAGAGTTGGTCTTCTGATTTTGTGATTAACACTCAATTGCCGGCAACGCACTTGTTGCTCTTGAGTTGTATAAGCGGCGTTAGTACCTAACCATCAGGTGACCTGTCTGCTATTTTGTTCTCTATAGCAGAAAAAAGGTGTAGCGAAAAATCTCTTATACAAAAACTACGTCCCAATGTATCAGACAATATGAATGTCATCGATTAGTTTTCCCAACCGTTCATAGTATCTTCTCCCTGTTTTGAAAACTATCATTCATATTGAACATATTAAAAACAATATCTACACTAGAAAAATATAATAATCGTATGTTGTATAGAATTCCTTTAGTAGTCAATTTTCAATATCATATTTTAGGACCTTCACAATGTTTTTAAATTAATAATGAACGTAGAAAATTATAATACAGAGCTTAAATTACTATTCATTTTTTTCTTTTAGATACTTTATTGATACTCTGTAGTTGTAACAGTAGTCATAAACATTTAAAAGAAAAGTAGATATCAAAATAAACCAAACGTTTTGTTTGTAAATGAATTGATGTTAATAACAAATAAAAATCATTATAAGAAGATGTTATTATGTAACAATAACTTTAGAGTTCTGAATACGAATTCTTAATAAAAGCATATCGAAAATCGTTTTAAAGCTAATACACTTTTAAAATAACTCGTGTACTGTATTTTAAAACTTGTATACTCATATAATAAACAATTCAATGTCGATAGTGTAGTAAAGAAGTTAGTCAAATTCATAATGTATTAATTGAAATCTATGTACGGTCGAAGTTGTCTTGTGCCAATACTTTATGAATGTATCCAGCCTTAGCATCTCTGTAATACTCTATACGAATTAGTTCTATATTATTCCCTTATTTTATATCAAAAGTAGAAACCGGCCTAGATGCTGATACATAACGCACTGTTGAGAGAATATTATAAAGGAAAGAAGTTCAGCAATATTTAATTTAATTTGGTGTTTTCTAACAATAAGTGACATATAATAGATGTTACACCACAATTATTAATTTACTTTGTAATCTAAACTAGTGTAGCTTTTACATGATATAAGAATGCGTGCCGTATTGTGTTTTACTTATTGAAGTTGTACATATCTATGAATGGACACGATTATTATTATATAAATGCTCATAATTCTAATGTAAATTATAAAAGTTCTATTAAGTATATTGTACAATTACTATTTACATCCTTACGTCTATTTAATATCACAATGAAATAAAATTTTAAACTCTTTTATGACGTCTTATTTGAAAATCCATACTAAAATTATAAATGCGAGTTTGTCCGTCTGTCTGTCTATTACCTCTGAACGCTAAACCGCTGAACCAGTTTTAATGGAATTTGGTGTAGAGATAGTTCGAGGCCCAGGAAAAGATATAGGATAGTTTTTATCCCAGAAATCATCCTTTAAGGGGGTGAAAATTGGGGGTAGAAGTTTGCATGGGTAATAAATAACAACTGAACCGATTCAGGTGAAATTTGGTATGGAGATAGTTTGATTCTTGATTAAGGACATAGGCTACCGCAGCTACCTACTACCTGGCGCTTGACGCGATAACCGATATACACGCGGGCGGAGCCGTGTGCAAAAGCTAGTAGTTTTCAATATCGATAATATCGATTCAAAAACGTACATTTAATGTATGGCTTTCAGTAAACTAAGATACAGTTTAAACATGTTAAAAGTATTACTTCAAACAGTATAAAATAAGATTAGAGTTTTTTGAAAGATTTTTAACTTTCAAAACCGTTATGTAATAAAAATTCGATCAGTTAATTAATATCAGTTTATACTTTTAGCATCCTCAGAGAATAATAATAACAAACATGTAATAAAAATTTGAAGTTTAAAAATAACACATTCTAAATTAACGTCAAACCCACGTTTTTTGCGCATGTCTCAGTGAACGAGGCCAGACTAACTTGCTATCCATAACGCTACCAAGGTCTAACGAATTCCATAGGAAAAAAAGCCCAAGAAGCGTGCCAGCCAAA